CCATAGTTTTATTATCTCATGAGGCACACTTCAGTTTTGAATCTAACTTGACAATTTATCTCAACATTTCTTTCCCCCAGAACTATGAGTTCTTCAAATCTTTTCAAACCAGCTGTTTATTGTACTCCTCATTAATAAATTAAAATAAAACTCTGACACATAATTACTACCTGTTTGTATGGGAATTTTATGATTTTAACCAATGGACAATTGTGACTTACCCCACCCTAAAACCCAGAATGGTCTTTCTTCTTGGGGCCCCAGCCATAAGTTGATCAGGGACAGTGTAGAAGTCTTTACCCAGAGCACAGCAAGGCAATGGAAAGGCAGCAGATAGTGCCTGGCTGTTACTGAAATCCAACCTGGAGAGAAGATTCGTCTTTCATCACACGAATCACTCCTTTGCTCTCTTCTGGCCTTCAAGCGTCCCCATTAAGAAGTACTAAGGCCATATAGTTCAGTTTCAGTATCAGAGACCCTCTAGCATTTTACCCTAAGAAGATTAGCAGTTTAATCTTTGTATTCATTTTTCTAGGGCTGCTGTACCAAAGTGCGACACTCGGTAGCCATAGCAACAGGAATGAACCGTCTCCCAGTTCTGGAGGCTGGAAGTCTGAGACTGAGCTGTCAGCAGGGTGGGGTCCTTCTGAGGGGTGTGAGGGAGATCACTTCTCTTTCTCAGCTTGTGGTACTTTGCTGACAATGTTTGGCATCCTTGGGCGTAGAAACATCGCCCTAATCTCTGCCTTGACTTTTACCTGTTCTCCTTGAATATATGTGTTTGAGTTTCCCATTTTATTTATTTATTTATCTATTTATTTGTCTATTTGTTTATTCATTATTTATTTATTTTTAATTTATTTTAGAGACAGGATCTTGCTCTGTGGCCCAAGCTGGAGTGCAGGGTCACAGCTCACTGCAGCCTGGAATTCCTCAAATTTGAGTAATTGGTCATGCTCAATTGATCCTCCTGCCTCAGTCTACAGGTGTGCATCACCACACCTTGCTTTTTTTTTTTGTAGAGACAGAGTCTACCTATGTTGCTCATGCTAGTCTCAAACTCCTGGTCTCAAGAGATCTTCCTGCTTTGGCCTCCCAAAGTGCTGTGATTACAGGTTTGAGCCACCATACCCAGCCCAAATTTCTCCTTTTTATGAGGACACCAATAGTATTGGCCCACCCTACTCCAGTATGACTTCATTTCAATTAAACTAACTATATGTGCACAACCCTATTTGCAAATAAGGTAACATTATGAGGTGCTGGAGATTAGAAATCCACCATATGCATTTTGGACAACAATTCAATCCATAACAGTCTTAAATTAAGGGAAGCAATTTCTAAATTAAGGGAAGTAATTTCTGCCCATCTATGTATTCTCACACATAAAAGTTTCTTAAAGTTTTAATTAAAATTTTCATTGATTCAGGAGTGGTGGTTCAGAGGAGCTATTGTTATTTGAGCTCCTATAAAAATTACGGCATTTTTGGCTGCAAGTACCAAAATGTGACTCAATACCAGCCATATGAGCAAGACATCCTGAGTGCCCAGCCCTTTTGAGCCACCAAATCTCCAAATGTCCCCAGTTCACATGTCCCTGTAGCCACTTGAGCAATTTCAAGAGTGAACTGCCCAGCTAAACTCTCCCAATTTCTCACTCACAGCATTGTGAGCTGAATAAAATGGTTGTTTTAAGCCAGTATGTTTTGGGTAATTGGTCATGCAGGAATAGTGATTTAATGGTAAAAAATACCCAGACTCGATAAATAACTCCTATGAAAGAATAAAAAAAGAGAAGGATTCCAACTGAAAATTGAGGGAAAAAAATAGGAATTTCCAGCAAGAGGAATAAAAAACACGTCCCTCTAAGGTATTAAATCTCATTCATAATCATAGCAATTCTACATAAAAGCACAATAATAAATGACATCCCTCAGAGTTACTGACAATTAAGTTACATAATATGAAATGCTGGTGACAATATGGAGTTTATGGAGGTATAAATTGGTATGGCAGCCTAGAAGACAATTGAACGATATCTCTTTTTTGTTTTGTTTTGGGGAAGTGGCTGCTGGTGGCTGTGAGTGTGTCACTGCACTCCAACCTGGGCGAACATTATCTCTTAAAACTGGGGACAGTCTCTGGCTACTGCTAAATGCATAACCTAGAAGAACTCTCCTGGAATATTTTGAAAAGCATTGTTTGTTATACTAAAGCAGGCACAGCCTAAGTATCTGTCAATGGGAAAACTCACAAGTAACTTTTGGTGCACACACACAATGGACTACTAGACAGAAGTGAAAATAGACAGGCCAAATGTGTGTGTATTGAAAGGGTGATTTTCACAAACATGGTGACAGTTAAGAAAATGGAGGAATGCGGAGAATATGATGCCACTTACATTGTTTAGAACAGGTGAACACAACAATACCAAATGTTTAAGGACGAATTCATTTATAGCAAAAGCACAAAGAAATGCAAATGCTGGCCGGGCGTTCTGGCTCACGCCTGTAATCCCAGCACTTTGGGAATCCAAGACAGGGGGATTGCTTGAGCCAAGAGTTGGAGACCAGCCTTGGCAACATAACGAGACCTCGTCTCTACAAAAAAAAAATTGGACGTGGTGGTGTGCACCTGTAGTCCCAGATACTCAGGGAGCTGAGGAAGGAGGATCACCTGAGCCCAGGAGGTCGAGGCTACGATGATCCGTGATCATGCCACTGCACTCCAGCTTGGGCAACAAAGTGAAGCCCTGACTCAAAAAAAATAAAATAAAGAAATGCAAATGCAAAATGGTGCTTCCCTTTCTGGGGAGAAGACGGGAGAGTGCTGGGTAGGAGTGCCCAGGGCATTTCAGCTTACTGGCAGTAGTGCAGGATTTGTTAGCTGCACTTTCTAGAGAACTTTATTTGTATATTAGATACAAAAACACTGCCAGTGCTATAGGAGTAAATATATTTTTTGTTAAATATTTTAAGTACGTTTTATGTTCAATATTGCAGAGTATATAACGTATTTAATTGCTAGAAGCTCTTGTGAAAAATTCCCAAGCCTGTCTCAAACTCAGCATATTAGTGTCTCCAGAGGTGGGGCTCTGGAATGTGCCCCTGAGTGACCCTGACATGCCCCAGACCGCCTTTCTAGGAGCACAAAACATGCTTTGGAAACTCGCAACTGGAGAGACGAGATGGTGAATTCCTGAGCCAGCGGCTGTGAATGAACAGAAACGTGGGAAATAAACTCTAATAGGGATCAAGCAACCAGGGAAGAGATCTTCCCGATTCTATTCAAAGCATGGTGGTCATCAATTTAGGATCCAGTGTCAACTCCACCTGCAGTAAGGTGTGTGTCCTTGAACATGTCTGTTAACCTCTCGAAGCCTCACAAGTCAAGTCGGGATAATGCCTCACAGAGTCGTGGCAAGGAATAAATGAATAACTCTTAGGAAGATGTCTTAGGAATCTGGTCAGATCAGGAAAACATCCGTATGGGGTCATTTCTTCTTGGACCCTGACAACTAGCAGGCCACCAGACAGAATGCTGGCCACCACAGGGTGGGGTGGAAAGTCAATGATCAGTTTTGTGTTTCTCAGACCTGGCTGGATGGGTGAACCCTGCCGGAGCATCGACCATGAGCCCCTCCCTGTATGTCTGGAGGGGGGCTGGAGTCCTCCCATTAGGGTGAGTATGCAGCTGGTGTCTGGGCAGGAGTCAGTGGAAGCCCTGGGTCTTTTGCCACTCTCTCCCTCTTCCGGCTGCCACCCTGGAACCCAACTGATGCAGCAGGACCCAGGGTCTATGGCTGCCAGGGAAGGGCAAACCTGAGGAGTTGGGCTCCAAATCCCAAAAGCAGTTTCTTACAAATCTAAACTTGCAGCTGCACCACAGAAAAACCCCGGGGAAAACTGAATGCTGGGTCATCCTCCTTGGGATGGTCACTGGCAGCTGGTAGCCAATCTCGTTGACCCAAGGTGTACCCACGGTGGCTGAGACTCCTGGGCATCTGGAGGGGCAGTGTTCAGACGATGAACCCTCTGTGGAGTAGTATCCAGCAGCCACGTGAGTGCCTGGGGCATCTATTCCATGACATGGCACCTACGCTAGGTACTCCTGGCCTGGCCTAGTCACCCACCCATTTCCAGGTGGGGAGGGGCAGTGGGAGAGCACAGAAGACGCCCGGAGCCCCTGGCTTTAGGCAGAAAGCATCGCCGGCGGGCACACCTCAGCCTGCTCTCTGGTGGGCACCCTGGGGTGCAGACCCCTCGCCCTGAGGGTGCACGTCCTGGAATGGCGACAAACAGCGCTGGGGCTGGGACTGGTGGGCACAGACTCTGAGACCCCAGGGGGCCCCACCTGTGCTTGTGGACCAAGGACGGGGGTGGCGGGGGAGAGGAG